TTGAATGCTGAAACGACTGAACTGACCTGCTGGTCTAATGTCAAAGAACGAAATATAAGTTTCTTTCATCGCTGAAATAATTGTAGTGAAGAAGATGAACAGCTACTGTTGAAAGCCAACATTTGACAAATTTTTTTCACCAGTGGACGTAAACCTGGCTCATTTGGAGCATGTAAGTTCCATTGACTGGTTGTAAAAATTTTCTGCTTTTTAACCTTATGCAAATTATCCATCGGGACACATTGAAACTACAACGGCTATAACCATGGTAACCGAACACATTTGCTTGGAATGTTGATGTACTTGTGCCTCTCTTCGTTATTCGCCGAGGATTTTTTTTTTACTGTAACCTTGTTAAACTCTATTTACGGCTAGAAAAACTCTGAAACTTAGAATCATGTTGGTTTTTGTAAAAGTTTTAAATTTTCACCTCTGTTTTGCTTCATATTCATGGTACAAGAGAAGTCCATAATCGCGATCGACAGTCAATTTACGAAGTACGATGCCATTAATAAAAAATCACCAAATTTACCTGCCATAACTATCAATCTTAGTTTAGCTAAAACCAAGGCCAGACACTTTGCACACTTCAGTCGAGGCGAATCAAATGCACAACTACTGTTCTTTGATATTTTCGTTAGATTCATTCATAAGCCGAGTGCATGCTGCTAAAATTACATGTAATTGCAATTTGAATCAATTCCGTCGACCCAATTTAATTTAGATCGGCCAAAACTCGAATTTAATTAACGTTGAACACGACACGGCTTGTCAAAATGACTTATTGTTATGATAATAATAACAGTTTTTATACAGGGCGCTCACGTCACTGGAAAGTGGTATTCTGTGAGGCCCTGCATTGTAAAAGAATTGATTTTGCCCAAAAAAATGGGGCCAAAACGAGTGAGTTCAATTCGGCCCCATTGTAATGAGGCTGTTTTTGGCACCAAGTTTTGGGCTAAATCAACCTAATTGTGAGAGCCAAATTGAACCATGTGAAGGGCCAATTTGGAAAATACTGGAGTCACATTTGAATTTAAAGGGGCCAAAACGGCCCCCAAAATTTTAACCCTCTCACAAGTGACCCCCCTTAAAAAGAGCCAATTCAGCTCCAATGTGGGCCACTTCAGAAGTAGAGGGCTCTCTCCTCTCTCTGCTGATTTCCCCCTTTAAAGTCAAATAATGTTAATACACTACATACTTCATCTTTCAAACACTCATTTATTTCATGTATTAAAAAAATAAAAGTCATCATAAACAGATAACAAGTTAAAAACATAAAAACTATGAAATACACTAAATATGTTTATAAAAGTTGCTTAATTATTCAATCGATAAAATAACTAATTGCCTTTGCTAAAAAACGAGGAATGAGTCGATTTCTTCAAAAGCAGTCTCTAACTTTGATAGATTTTGAATTAGGATAAGTGTTGGGTTGAAAAAGCTGACAAAAAGATTACTGGTGGTTTAGTCTTAGTTACCATGATTACGATCAACATCATTCACACCACGTCCTTT